TCAAAATTTTGGTGGGAGAAAGGAAAATTGCTAACATTCACAAAAGGTTCAAGTAATAGGTCTTTCAAGTGCAGCCAATTGAGCTTTGATGGGCTTGGGCACAGCCCTCTAGGTGCAGGCAGTAGTCAGCTACATCATCTGGCGCAGGAATGTATGGCCTTTGTGGTGCAATCTAAAAACACCCATACCCTGACGCCCCAGCATGTGTATAGAGGTTCATTCACCAAAGCCCAGCAGCAGCTGGTTTCCACAAATGGGTGTGGGAAGAAATGGCCATGGGTCCAAAAATGTTATCAGTCCTCCTCCAGCCTCTGCCCATCCCCAGGTACTAGGACCACTTCCCATAGCCAGAAATGTAGGAATACTATGCTCAGATTTATAAGCACCATCTCCCACATGTGGCATAAAGTATACATCCATAAGTAAACACGCCAATTTCTACAATCCTTCCACCCCTTTCTGAGGCTGAAAGCATGTAAAAACTGAGTACATGCCTACGGAATATGAAATGTATCTCACTGATTTCTACTGGATGTATAATATTTCTATGCTGAGCTTTGAAACAGCATGGATCTTCACAAAAAATAGCATTATCTTGTTAGTTTTGATAATTTTATGTAAAATATGTAAGAGTTCTACCACATTTTTTACTTAGCCATACCAGAGGTGATGGTAATATAATGATGAGTATCATTTGCTCTACAGAAACTAGCTGACAAGTCCAGAAGCTTGGAAAATGAATGATGCAGATTTCTATTTATTTTAGTTCCAAACACACGTCAGCTGAGCAATTTGGCGTATGCTGAAAGCTTTGGTTGAATACCTTTCAGGAAAGTGAGTCTCCTCTACTTCATTACACCATTATTCTCTTTTCCTATCTAATGATAGACAAAAGCAGCACAGCCCTAAACATACAAGCCAAACTTTGATACAGAGGTAGTTTGAACGCACTGTTTGAAATCTCTTTTAGGATCTGTATACAACACCCCACATCTCTATTAGTACAAGGAGAATTTGGTGGCAATCTTGTTAAGAACAGTTAATGCAGACAAACACTAATTATAATAGTTTGTTTTAAGTTAGAAAGCCAAACATTGTTTTAAGTTAGAAAGCCAAACATTGTTTTAAGTTAGAAAACCAAACATTGTTTTACGTTAGAAAACCAGGTCAATGTGGCCCTCGAAACAGCCACACACAGAGTTGTTCCTTTCAAGTCCAAACTGCCGTAAGCAAATCAAGAAGGCTTGGTCTGGGGGGGGGGGGGATTAAGACCATGTCTGCTTCCATATATCGTTAGAGAGCCATCACTGTCTAGTGCCAAGTGTCCCCAAAACAGACGTCCATACATGTGTCCACAGAGGCCTAGTCTGGCAACCACAGGCTCCCCTGCTTCTGCTGAAGCCTGAAAGAAACATTATATTGTTGCCAACAGAATAGGATGCAGAGTGTGCTTGGTTGCAGGAGATTTGTGTGGCGGCAGCCCATGGCAGTTCCCCTGATTTACAGATGTTCACGCAGGCCCCCAAAGTTTGGAGATTCCTGGTCTAGTAGAGACAACTAGATCTGGATCAAGGAGAAATGAGCCCAAGGTGGTTCTGCCCGGCTTGGCGAGGGAGGTGCGAGACTCAGATGAATCCAAGATCCATCCTGCTACCTTCCCAGTGCCCATCTGGCTTTCGGAAGGAGCCAGGAGGGCTCCAGCATCCCATCCGAGCCCTGGCACCTCCTTCCCAAAGCCTGGGAAACTCCTGACCGGCTTAGGGAGGGAGGCGCGAGGCTCACACACACAACATCAGGATATCATATGCATGACGTTGCCCCATCCCCCTCGCAACCTGGCACCTCTGGCCCGCAACTGCTCCTCCATGGAAAATTTCACCGCACGCGTTGTTGCACCCTCGGTTTAAGGCAGGCACCCCCCAACCTTCAGCCCTCCAGATGTTTTGGACTGCAATTCCCATCATCCCACTGGTTCTATTAGCTAGGGATCATGGGTGCCGTTTAAGGTGCTGTTTGGGCCCCCCAGCTTCCCCATCTCCTGTTTCTAGGCGTCGCTTGCGCATGGGAAAACGGGCCGGACCCCAGGATCTCCCCGGCGGGCACCTCCAGATGGTGGTGACGTCAGGTACCATCCCGCCAGCAGCCCGGGGCAAAATGCGCCTGGCGAATTTCGAACGCCACCAACGGGGCTCCGACGAACGTTTACCGGGAGCAGCATCTCTTGTCCTGTGCGGCCGCCGCGGACGGAAAAGCGAAACGCAGCGGGGAAGGCCGCAAGCCGGGGCAGTCCCCTCGCTTGCTTCGCCGCGGCTTTTTCCTCAGGCGGACCCCCAGGCGGACCCGAGCCTACGGGGAAAGAAGCGGTCGCCGCCGGGCAGCGGCCTCACCTGCGAGGGGCTCCTGGCGGAGGCGGACATTTCGCAGTCGGAGTCCGAGATCTCTCCGTCCTCCTCCATCCCGCGAGCCTCCAGCGCCATCTTTCCCGGCTCCTCAGCCAGCGCGGGAGGAGCGCGCGGGAAAAGGCCCGGCCTCAGCCGAGCCAGGACTACGGCGCCCACAATGCTTTGCGCCGGGAGGGGCGGCGAACGGCGGACCAGCCTTCCGAGAGGCATGCCGGGACTTGTAGTCTGAGCCTTGCCGCTTTCGTCGCTGTGGGAAAGAACTACGCCACCTGACCTGAGAGGGGGAGTGGCAGGGGGGAAAGCAATAGAGACTACGCGCGTACTTTCGTAAAGCAAGGAAATGTTTAATAAATATTATATAATTAAAACAAAAACCAGGCACACGCGAACGACAGATACCGAAGTGTAACGGACTCAGCGTGACCCGCTCCATATTTCCTTCACAAAGATGTCAGGGCTAAATGCAGCTCTATGCATCCATCTAGGAACAAAGACACTGGAACAAGAAAGAGAAATGCCTCCAGTGAGAGATGTTAAAAAAAAGAATGTGTCCAGTTGGATCTAAACTATACAGCATACCTCCAACATTTCTCCGATGAAAAATAGGGACGTCCTATTCTATTATTGTTGCTGTTAGTTTTTATTATTATAACAATAAACGTGGCTGGGTTGCCGCAGCCACTCTGGGAGGCTTCAACATATATAAAAACATAATTAACATTTAAAAAACTTCCTTATCCAAGGCTGCCTTCAGATGTCTTCTAAAGGTTGTGTGGTTACTTATCTCCTTGGCTCAGGGGTCACATAACTTAACACCCTCTAATATTCCTTCTATTATTATTATTATTATTATACAGTGGTGCCGCCGCAAAGACGAATGCCTCGCAAGACGGAAAACACCGCTAGACGAAAGGGTTTTCCGTTTTGGAGGCGCTTCGCCAAAACGAATTTCCCTATGGGCTTCCTTCGCAAGACGAAAGCCCATAGGGAATCTCCGGGACAGCGGGGAAGCGCAGCGCGTCTTCCCCACTGTCCTCGACCTCCTCCGAAGGCTGGTGGTGGGGCGGAGAGACCTCCTCCCGCCGCCAGCCTTCGGATGGCTGTCCTGAAGGACTTGCGGTGGGAGGAAGGTTTTCCTTCCCACCGCCAACATTAAGAATGCTGTTCTGAATGTTG